TCTATTCTATCCAACCTTTCACTGGCCAAAGCACCCCGAGAGAATAGATAACAACCATCACCATTTGGGAAGTGTTCAGCGTTGGACATCACATGCTAGGTGCTGGATGGATATTGGCTAGGTTGACCCACATGTCTGCTGAGCAGGAGCATTTATCTCCATGTACATAGAGAATCTGAGTGCCTTACCCCAAAAGGTACAGCCAGCCAATGTCAAGATCAGATTCTTCAGCTACTGGGCTGATCCAAAGTGCCTGCTCTTACCCCACCTGTCTGATGTTACACTCTGGACCATCCTTACTCACTACCTGCCGCCAGATCCTAGAGAAGATTTCAGTAGAACACCTCCTCTCTTCAGTGGCAGACCTCACACCCTGAGTGGCCCTGAGCCCCAGCAGGAACCTCCGAGCTCCTTGTGCACCACCCAGACCCTCCTCTGGGGGCCCACTGGGGTGCCTCACGAGACCTCCCATTGCATCGCTCTGGCAGATGCCTGGGCACTCCAGCCAGAACTGAGAAAGGAGCAGTGAAGTGTTCGAGGCCTCGCCCACCCTCACTGGGGCTCTGCCTTGCTTCATCCTTCACCCAGCTGTGCTGCACTAATGCCACCTCATGCTAATGGTGAGACCTTGTCCTCCACCAGGAGATGCCCCTGCACAGGAGGAACCTGAAAGAAGCAAGTACCGAGGATCCGTGGTGATCTAGTGAGAGAGGACATACCATGGCAGTTAAGACGGTAGGACCTGGACTCAAACACAGAGTTATGACAAGCTATGGGGCTTCACTTTTTTTTAAAACCTCAGCAGAAGCCAATACTAGTTCAAGATGAAATGCCAGTTGCTGCTTCAAAACTGCTTCATGGTTACTCTTCTGCCCCTTGGGGCAACTCAGAATGTGAAACCATATGCCTTTTTTTTGGTTAGTTTTTGGAAACTTATTAACCAAATGGATGTGAATGACTGGACTTTGCCATCAAGGTAGCCAGAAACTGAAAATACAGAGGCCTGAGCAGGTACTCCCAGACCAGCATATGGAACACCTCAGGGAAGGGGTAACCAGCAGGGCAAAATAGAATTTTCGAGATTGGATTTTTTTTTTTCTATTAGCAATAAGCAACTTCAAACTTCCTCCTGGCTGGCTCACCATCTTCCTGGCCACGTAGATTCATACATTGTTTGCCTACCACTGACCAAATCAAAAGAAGCTGTTTATTGTGGTACAAAGAAAAAAGAATTTATTCAAGGCTAGCTCTGAGAAAATTTAAAAAAAAAATTAAAAAGGCTAGCTCTGAGGAGGTAGAGGGGGCCCATCTGCCACAAATCACCCTCTCCTCCGAGCTAGCTTTGAATCAGAGTTGGCGGCAGGCTGATGGCTCACCTTATGACAAGTCCCAAGGACAGCATGGAGACTTCGTGCTGCCCCCCACACCAGCCCCTCTCCCAGGCTATGTCTAGAGCAGGAACTCGGTCAGCTCTGCTGACCCCTGTGTTTTTAACCCTCACATGCAATAAGAAGACCATAAAAGGGGTTCTCATGACATCTTACCACATGTAAAAACCAACTAAAGAGAAAGGCAGCAAGAAACAGCCCTGAACAGCTGAGTTAAATTTCTAAAGTCTTCATGCAGTAGCACAGGAAGTGGTGGGGAGAAAACTTTCAAGTGCAGTCATACCCTTCCCCATGAGGGGAGGTGGACAGTGCCAGGATGCACCTGGCAGAGGGCATGCATCGGCAGCCTCTGCGCCCGTTCTCACAGGAGGAGGGAGTGCGTGGGAATAAGGTCCACAGCAACCAGTGCTAAGGGCTTGTTCACTGCTGGTTTTCTCCATTTCCAGCTAGAAGGTCCCAGAATCTCAGTTTGGAACATGTTCAGGAGTGTCACATGCATCACAGAGTGCCAAAGAAATAGTGGTAACAGCTGCTCAACTGGCAATGGGAAAACACCTAGAAGACGAAGAGGGTGATTCTGCAAAGGAAGCTCAAGGCAGTGGTATTCCCCCTCCACATGCCTCATCAGCACTACATCAGAGGCGCTCGTGGGCAGCTGACACATCCCCACCAGGAAAAGCAGGAGCAAACACCCTTGGTGGCCGCAATCTAATGGTCCTCGCCAAGCTACTGCTGATGGTGTGACAAGACATGGAGAAACCAGGACCTCCAAGTGAGGCCCCTGACTACACCCAGGGATGGGGAAAGATGACAGGCCTCATCAGGGAGGATGTCCATTTGATCGGCTCTCTGTAGGATCTCCTAAAGATGACAGCTTCCCTCCCGAAGAGTTAGGTGAGTCCAGGGACCTCTGCAGACCAAGAAGTGAGGACCTCACCCCTACCCCAGGGGGAGGGGAAACCAGACTGCCAATGGGTGACCACTCCTAGGACCCTGGGGGACAGACTCTTCTATAGCTAGTGGTCACGGGGACCCAGGAAGCCCCAGAACAGCTTTCAGCTCACTCTTTGGATCTGGATCTGCCTCAGGAGCAAGTAGGTACATGGAAACTCTAAAATACCTTCCTAGTTCTGTAGCCACAGGAAAGAGCAGAGACCTATTCCTCCCCACTCCAAGACGCAGACACCTTCCTAAGTCACCCTGGTAGAAAGACAACGGGATGATTAAAACTGTCACAGGCTGTGCCCCGGCACTGCATCAGGCACCAAGCCTAATGCTTTTCATGCACCGTCTCGCCATATCCTCACGTCCTCTTTTAAGTGTGTGCCTCATTTGTCAGAGAAGGAAACGGAGCCCTGGAGAAGTTAGGCCCCATCCCCAGTATCCAGCCCTGCCAGGATGCCAATGCCAGCTGCCTAGATCTGAACCTCCTGCTGCTACCCAGAACCTCATGCCACCTCCAACACTGATACTCCATTTCAGAAAACTCTAAAAGGCCCACTCGCATCTAGAGGGGACGAAAGAATTGGGTCACAATGACATGTATTCCCCAGACCCATTCCTGGACGAGAGAGGTGTGCTGAGAGAACATTTGCTTTGTCAAATGTTAGAATCAAGGAAACGTTCAAAGTGAGGAAGCGATATTTCCTTGGTAAGACATGGAGGGCCAGACATGCGGTGTCACTGCACACACAGGGAGCCTTCTGATGCCTCCTGGGGGCCCTCAGTGCATCCTCCTCTACCTGTAACCTCCTGCCATCTATGTCCACATCTTCCCCTGGAATTCTGTGCAGCCAAATTCCTGGCCCTGCTCCTCCTGCAGCCTGAGCCATCCACAGCCCCAGAAGAGCCCCAGGGCCCACCTGTGCTCAGTGAACACCGGCTCACCTTGGTGTCGATCTTCCAGGTGATCTCCCGGATGCTGTGAAACCACTCAAAGAGCTCCTCCACCCTGTCAGTGGCGAACTCCACTGGAGGGTCACCGTGCTTCTTGGGCTCCAGGATAAAGACGAAAGGCTTCTGGTTTTTCCCCTGTGGAGCTTTCACTTTGGGAGAGGATAAGAATGTCCCAGTCAGCCTAGTAACAGGCAACAATCACTGGCCATTTCTCTCATGAACCAACGCAGGCCTCTGTCACTAAAAGTATGGTTGGTACCACATGGGAGGTCCCTGTTCCATTCCATTGGGCAGGATGTGACTTCATACACACGTGACTGTTTACCGTCTCAGTGGGCTGAGTGGTGTCTTCCCAAAGATAAATCAAGTCCCTAGTCCTTGTGACTGTGACTTTATTTAGCAATAGGGCTTTGCAGATGTGCCTAAGGGTATTGCGATGGGATATCTTGGGTTTTGGGTAAACCTAAATCCAGAGACTGCTGGCCTCATAAGAAGGACAGGGACACAAGAGATACAGATATGGGAGAAAGCCACACAGGCAGAGTCTGGAATGACACAGCCATGTGATGAGACACACCAGGTTTCCAGCCATCAGCAGAAGCCAGGAGGGGATGTGGAATGGAATCTGTATACTCAGAGGAAGCAGTGAAGTGAGAACAATTTAATTAAGGTTATGGAGGGAAAATCATCTTCCTTGTAAGGTCAGTAGGTAAGATTACTGAGTCCTTCAGTGTGGCCAGTGTTCTAAGCAAACTACGGCTGTGTGTTCGTGACCCTTATCTCTGCCTTCCTGGCTACTCATCTTTTTATGTCTGTTTTACAGTAGAGAAAATGGAGGCTTATTGAGAAAAGTAACACTTGGGAGATGACACAACTCATAGTGGCAAATCAAACCTGATGCCAACTCCCTACCACTGGGCTACCTGCCTCTCCTCCACAGATCCAGGAAAAGGACCAACAAAAACAATATCAGACATAAAGGTAAAATTCCTGAACCTCCAGTCCCAGAGCATCGAGGGACTTACCAGGGACCTCAGGCCATGGCCATAGCCACTTTTGAGCTTAGTTTGGCTCATCTATTAATTCGAACAAAAGGAAAAGATCCCTTTCTTAACCTCCTGAATTGCTATAAGGGAGGAAACCAGAACAGGCACTAGATGTCAAAGGAAAGCATGGGCAATAGAAGCAGGAAGTTCTTGGGACTTCTGTCACCCGAGCCCTAGGCAGCCAGGTACCGGGCTCCCCAGGAGGGTGTCAGGAACGCAAGCCCCAGCTCAGAGAGGACTTGCCTGGGCTTCTTGCCCTGACTGTCCCCTCATGTCTGCCATCCTTTCCTATGGGGCTGTAATGCTCTCAATGCAGGCTCTAGACTCAAGCATCCCAGTGCAGTCACAGCCCTGCACCCCACATGGCCTTTGCTACAGCCACGCCCACACTTTGCCCTCCTCTGGAGCCCAGCTCCATCAGGCTGGGTTTCCTTTCCCTTGATGCGCAGCTGGGAAGCTGAGGTTCACAGAGAAGTGACCAGCACATGGTCTGAGAGTGACTAAGATGCAGAGCTTGGCAGAGAAGCTCAGACACCCAACTCCAGGTGCCATCTCCACCCACTGAACATCTTGGCTCTTCTGAGAGCATGAGAAACAAAGATGAAGCCCTGAATGTCAGCGATGATGCTGGTACCAGCAGCAGCAAACAGGTGACAGCTGTATAGCAGACCCGCTTGCAAAGCACAGTTAGAGCTCAGCAGCAGACTAACATCATCATCCTCCAACCTGGCCCAGAATGCTCAGCCGAGGCTATGGAAAGAGCAGCATCAGAGTCCAGGACGGGCAGGACTACATCACCCGCTCTACTCAAGTGGCTCTGGGGTCAGTGGGAATCAGGCTTAGACAGCAGTGCACGTACCAACGTTGTAGGTGTTGAGGTCCAATATTCCTCTGCAAAGAGACCCTAGGGGGTTATCTTCAATAATCTGTGAAGAAATAAGACATTACTCACGGAGCCCTAAAAAGACAACCCATTTCCAAGCACAACGCCTAGCAGAGGCAATGCCTGTGCAACTGTTTAAAGTGCATTTTCCTTGGGCTGTGTCCTCGGGGAGAGGGCTGCGTAATGACACCTGGAGATAATGGGGACGGACTGGTGAGCAGGTGGCCACAGGCTCAGCATTTCGTTTCCAATCCATGAAAACGTGGCTTGTCCAGGACACGTCTCAGAACACATCCTAGACCCATGATGGGGAATCTCTTGGAGACCAAATGCCCAAACTACAACTCACGACTCAGTTATTCAATAGCCAACACTGCAATTAAACCTGAATACTGAGTTTTTAGTTTAGAAATGATGCTCAGCTGCTGGGGTGACTTGGCTTGCATGCTGATCAGGCTCTGCATGCCCACTGAGGCACACATGCCATGACTTTGCCACCACTGCCCTAAGCCCTTTAGCTGAATATGGAACAGGACTGTGTGACCCGCAACACCCTAGTTCAAGAGCCTTCTGCAGCTCCCCTCTCCTGTGAAGCAGCAGTGACGCTTGCAATCTCATTCTTAGGTTTCCCCAGCCCCAGCAGCCTTTCCAGCTGAGATGGGGAGAATGATAGTCTCAGGAGAGCTGGCCAAATTGTGCTCCACCTTCTGCCGGCACCACACGCTCTCTTCTGCCTGGCTGATGCTGATACGCGGGTAAGGACAATGGGTAAGACCCGGCTGAGCACAACTGTAGTCCTCCCACCACACCTTCACTTACATTGCACTTCCCACCTGTGATCCCTCTACCAGTCTCCTGCTATTAATCTCCAACTTGGCTTCTAAGGCTCAAATATCCCTTACTCCGGAAATCCCTTGCAGATTACCCAACTTCCTGTGGGAAATAGATGCTAAAAGGACCCACAGTCTTTATGTTATGGATTGTGTCTCTGTTTTTTAAAGCCTTGTGAGATTAGAGGTGGGGCTTCTTTAGAGATGGCTAGATGTGGAGTATGGGATTGGTTTATGGTGTAATACTAAGATTAAGGGTGTTAGGATTAAGGATAGATGCTTATTAAATTACTTTATTAATTAGTTTGGCACTGCCTTAATCTTGGTAGCCTGGATAGAATAAAAGAGACAGAAACAGGCTTGTCTTGTCTTGTGCTTGCTTTGCTACCTTCTGCCCACCCTGAACTGTTTCTCTTCTGCAGTGCCTGTCTGCCATGCCACCCTGCCTTGGTACCAACTAATTATGGACTGAAACCTGTATAAACTGTAAGCCAGGTAAAACTTTTTTCTTCTAACTTTGGGTGTGAGGCATTTTGTCTTCACAACAAGAAAAGTAACACACAGAATTTGGTACTGAGAATGGGATTGCTGTAACTAAGCCTGACCATGTGATCAGGAGCCTTTAAAACTGGCTTATTAAAGGAGTTTAAAAGGTTCAAAGAATCAAGCTTAAAGAAACAGCCCTAAAAAGTTTTGATTGATAAAAGGTCTGGTCAGTGCTCAAAAGACCAAAATGATAATAAAAATAATGCCAGTAACGATCAAACTCAAAAGGTTTCTACTTAAAAAATAAAAGACTACATTGGCTGTTAGATTCCAACCACTGTCTATTACACCTTGGCAAAAAGTTTGTCTACATTTTGCTCATGTCCAAAAACTTTGCCTGAGACTAAGATTAAGGGCAACGGACTAATTAATCTGACAAAAAAGAATTTCAAGCCAGTCTAATGTTAAGGGCATGGCATAGCTACTGTTAGGGGATTTTAGCCAGGTTTATGTTAAAAATCAAAACAAAGAGTTCAAAAAAATGATTTCACACTTAAGTTTGGACCAAAAAAAAAAAAAAACCACCTCTAATAAAGTCATAGAATACAAAAATAAAACAAAAAATTACTTGGTAACCAAAAATAAATAACTGGAAGACATCACAAAAAACAAGGCTCCAGCCTTTGTAGCCTCAAGTTTGCAAAGGTAAAAAACTTAACAACAACCAAAAAAAAAAAACAAAAAACCCTCAGAGCACCATGTTCCAAAAATGGGGATGGCCTAAAAAAGTTCTTCAAGATTTAGTTCACAGGCTACTGCTCCAACTGATAACAAACTTTCACATCACCACTACTACAGTTTTAGACACATAACAAATACAAAAGTTGTGGGGTCAAAAAACCTTCCACCCAAACTTTAATAAGACATGTAAGAGGCCAAACAGTGTGGTCCTAAAAAGACAGTGCACAAAGCTTTGGGTGTAAAGCCAAAGATTCAATAGAGACCCCAAAAGTCTAAAAAACCCAAAAATGTAGATCATCTAAGAAACACTATGAAAAATACCCCTCCCAAACCAGCCCAAGGAAAAAGCCATATGAGCTACAACCACCAACAGTGCCATAAGAACAAAACCACCCAACCTCTTTCAAGTTCACTTCTTGTCATAGATTGCCTCAGATACTCAACATAAAACTACAAGACAACGTTTGCACTGCTGGGTTTTAGATTTGCTTTGGTCTCGTTCCTTTATATCCCCCTATTTATATCCTTAACAATAATATTATGAATTTTGTGTCATTACATGTTAAAAGTGTTTAACTTTCTGTTCATTTATACAGGGGGTTATAGCTAAAAGTTTGCCTTAAATATCGGAATAAACTTTTCAACAATGCTAAAAATATTAAGACGCTAACAACTCTTAAAGATAGACTAAAGGCCTGTTACATAAAATAAATATACACAAGCCAGGGGCACAATGTTATGGTTTGTATCTGTGTTTCCCCAAAATCTCAATGGGTCATAGGTGGGGCTTTTTCAGAGGTGGATGGATCAAGAGTGTGTAATTGACTCATGGAGCAATACTAAGATTACCGGTGCTAGGATTAAGGGTATGTGATTAATAAATCAGTCCACTAATTGGTTTGGCACTGTCCTAATCCCGATAGCATGGATACACTGTAAGGGACAGAAAGAGGCTTGTCTTGTCTCTTGCTTGCTTTGCTGCCTTCTGTCCACCGTGACTTGTTTCTCCTCTGCAGTGCCTGTCTGCCATGCCACCCTGTTTTGGAGCCAACTGATTATAGACTGAACCTCTACAAACTGTAAGCCACATAAATCTTTCCTCCTTTAACTTTGGATGTTGGGTATTTTATCTCACAAAGAGAAAAGTAATTAACATGCCTCATTACAAGGAGTCATACCTGTCCCGGTAAAAGTGACTGCTCGCTGAGCCTTCTGGGTAAAAGGCAGCTGGGAGAGAAACCAGGTTGCAGAGTTCCCAGAAGGGCCTGGTGTCACCTTTCAGGGAGGCCCCTTGCTTGCTCACACTGGGCACATTCTGAGCATCTGGCCGTCTAAACCCAGTGTCTCATCTGCAAGCTGCTTTGAGCAAAGGACAAATCCCCGTTTGACCAGTTTTGCTCTGGTGGGAATTCTCCCGTGTATTTAGAGCCTTCCAGCCTTGCCAAGTCTGATTAAAGTGGGACTGGCTTGTCACAGTGACCTCCACCCACAATTTGGGGACAATCCCAATTTCCACATCCTGTCTTCTCTGTTCTGAAAAGCTTCAGAGACCACATATGGGAACTGATGAAATTCACCCCCTTCCCGGGGCTCAGCTCACCCCCAGACAGCCTGGCAGGTCCTTCCCGAGGACGCTGACGAGGGAGACTCACCTGCTTCTCCAGCTCCTCCCCCTCTGCCGTGGAGATGTCCTCCACGTAGTTGGACGGGAAGTACTGCTGGATTCGGGTGCCGTAGTCACCTTTCCACCTGGGGGAAGACAGGGCATTAA